AACAGAGTTTGATAGTGAGTTATGCGAGCGTTTGTGAGCCAGCAGTCGGAGGGCTGGTGGACAATACTCTCTAAAGCATGAGGTGCTGAGATTACCAAACTCTGTCCCATAGTCAACTTGTCAGCATCTTTTACCAGAACAGCTACTGCCGCTATGATCCTTAGACAAGCTGGCCACCCTGAGGCTACTGGGTCTAGTTTTTTAGACAGATATGCTACAGGCCTTTCCCAGGGCCCCAGTTTTTGAGTTAGGACCCCCTTTGCAACCCCTTATTTTCTGCCACACACAGGTGGAAGGGCTTGGTTATGTTGGGCAGCCCCAGAGCCGGTGTGGACATCAAGGCCGTCTTGATGTTGTTAAAAGCCTGTTGTTCTTCCTTTCTCCACTTGAAGGGCTGACTGTTCTTAGTGAGGGGATATAACGGGGCTGCCATCTCAGCAAAACCAGGTATCCATAGGTGGCAGAACCCGGCAGTACCTAAAAATTCCCTGACTTGTCTTGGGTTAGCGGGTGGCGGAATGTGAAACACTGTCTCTTTTCTGGCCTCAGACAACCATCTTTTCCCATCTTTAAGAAGGTACCCCAGGTAACTGACCTGTCGCTTGCAAATCTGAGCCTTTTTGGTGGAGACTCGATAGCCCAGTTCTCCCAACTCTGTGAGGAGACGCTTTGTTCCTTCCAGACACAGTTCCTCATCGGCCACTGCCAGGAGGAGATCATCTACATACTGCAACAGAGTTACCTGGGGGTTAGAGGCCTGGAACATAGCCAAGTCTTGGTGGAGGGCCTCGTCAAAGATGGTGGGCGAATTTTTGAACCCTTGAGGCAGGTGGGTCCATGTGAGTTGCCCTGCTAGGCCAGTCTCTGGATCTTTCCACTCGAAGGCAAAGTAATCTTGACTTTTTACAGCCAACGGTAAGCAGAAGAATGCATCTTTGAGATCCAGTACCAAGTACCAGGTCCTGTCTGGGAGTAAAGAGCTTAAAAGATTATAGGGGTTAGGAGCTGTGGAGTGGAGGTCGGTCACCCGCTTGTTTACCTCTCGGAGTTCCTGGACTGGTCAGTAGTCATTAGTCCCAGGTTTTCGGACCAGTAGCAAGGGTGTGTTCCAGGCTGATTGGCACTTCCGTAGGATCCCCAGCTGGAGCAGACGGGCAATGTGGGGTCGGATGCCTTCATGTGCCTCTCAGGACATTAGGTATTGTCGGACAGCTATCAGACTGGCCTGAGCCTTCAGCTCTATGTGGACGGGGGGCCGGTTTTTAGCCTTCCCTATCCCTGCAGTTTCTGCCCACGCCTGGGGATAGTTTTTTAACCATCAGTCCATCTGTCCGGTCTCCTGCCCTTGTTTTTCAAACAATTGGTATTTATCTTCCAGCGTGAGAGTTAGTACCTGGAGAGGCTTTCCTTGTCAATTTAACACCCGAGGTCCCTCGGGGTCAAAATGAATTCGAGCACCCATTTTGGTGAGGAGGTCTCTTCCCAGTAATGGGTAGGGGCACTCAGGAATGACCATGAACGAGTGGGATACCCGGCCCATGCCTAGGTCCACCATTCTTCGGGTAGTCCATGGGTACGGTCTGGTCCCTGTAGCCCCTTGTACCCACGATTTTTTATTTGAAAGGGGTCCATCTGTTTGCAGTAACACTGAATGCTGAGCCCCAGTATCTACCAAGAACTGAGTAGGCTTCCCCTCCACTGTAAGGGTTACCCTGGGTTCAGGGAGGGGGTCTGAACCCCATCCCCTCTAATCACTGTCTTCCTGCAGGGCCAAGACTTTGAGGGCCTGAAGCTTTTTCTTTTTCTTAGGGCATTCTTGAGCCCAGTGTCCTTTCCCCTTGCAGTATGCACACTGATCTTTTGCTAGGGGTTCCTTCTTGCTGGCCGGTACTGTCTTACTAGGTTCCCTAGTTTCCCTAACTACAGTGGCCAGAATTTTGTGAAGATTTCTTTCTTGGCACTTTTCTCTTTTTATTTCTTTAGCCTCCTGCTCTTTCTGCTTTCTCTCTTCTTTTTCTTCCTCTGACTCTCTATTATGATAAACCTTTTCAGCCTCCTGCACTAATTCCCTCAATGACTTATCTTGTAACCCTTCAAGCTTCTGCAGTTTCTTCCTGATATCTCTACTAGACTGGTCAATAAAGGCAACTGTCACTGTAGCCTTGTGCTCCTCACTACTAGGATCATACGGGGTAAACTGACGGAATGCTTCCATGAGTCTCTCCAGAAATGCTGACGGGGACTCACTGGGCCCCTGGATTACCTCTCTTACCTTAGTCAAATTGGTGGGGCGTTTTGCTGCCCCTCGGAGACCTGCCATTAGAGCCTGGCGATAGACCTTCAGGTGCTCCCTACCTTCTGCCAAGTTGAACTCCCAATTCGGTCTGGTCAACGGGAATACTGCATCTATAACATTAGGGAGGAGGGTAGGTCGCCCATCATCTCCTGGAACGTTCTTTCGAGCCTCCAGGAGGATTCGTTGTTTCTCCTCGGTGGTGAACAGGACCTGGAGGAGCTGCTGGCAGTCATCCCAGGTGGGCTGGTGAGTAAAGAGGAGAGATTCTACAAGGTTAGTGAGATCCTGGGGATTTTCAGAGAAAGGGGGATTCTGACATTTCCAGTTGTAAAGATCGGAAAAGGAAAAAGGCCAGTACTGTAAGGGCTGGTTGCCCTCTTCATCAGGAGGGCAATAATCCCGCAGAGGGAGGGTGGGAACAGCTTCCAGAGGGGCTGCTCGCCTACTACACGTCCCCTGCGCAGGTCCCTCCCTTGCTCCTTGTGGGTCCTCCAGCAGAGCTGACAGGTGGACTGCCTGAGGACGGAGGGAGGGAGAATAAGGAGGAGGAGGGTCTAGAGTGAAGAGGGAGGGAGAATAAGGAGGAGGAGGGTCTAGGAGAGGCAAGTCTGATTCCGTGGGAGGTAGGACCTCCGGTTTCTTTCCCATCTCTTTAAGAGAAAACACAGCTGATGGACCTGTTAGGGGAACAAAGGGACGGACCCACGGAGGAGGGTCCGTGACCAGATCTTCCCAGACAATGATATAAGGGACCTGATCTGGGTGACCCTTAGAATTGAAACCAAAAATTTTTCTCTTTACCGCCGTGACCAGTGGCGGAGAGAAGGAGCCTTCAGCGGGCCACCCAAGTTGGAAAGTTGGCCACTCCGAAGAACAAAGAGTTGCCCATTTATCCTTTTTAACCTGTACAGACAGATTATGAGCCCTGGTCTTCACGTCAGTCCAGTATTTCAGAGTTAGATTTAAAGGGGCTGAGACAGTCTGCCCCATGTCGCCCCAGAAAGTCGCACACACGCAACCAGACAAACAAAAACCAAAATACCAATGCGCCCTTGCCACGGGCACCACAACCTGATTATCAGAGAACTCGGGAGGGGTTCAGGTCCACAAAATCAAAAATAATTCATTGCGTCTCTGCTCCCTGGACACAGTCTCCGGGGTTGACGGGAAAGCAAACAAACCATGCGACAGGCGTGGCAAAAACGTGACCGCCCGCGGGTGGTGGCGACCGCCCCCGTCACTCCGGCAAGGCATCGGCCACAGGCTCACGTGCCCAACACCTAATGGCGTCCCGGCGGTACACGCCACGACAGCAGCACCCCCCACTCCCCCAAGAGAATCAGTCCTCCTGCCTTATGGGCCCCAAACTGGCTACCCCCGGCTCCCCGAAACCGTGGCCCAGCAGTTCACAGGTACAAAATGGCGGCGGGCCTCAGGAACCAACCATAGAGACGTCCGCCCTCCGCGGACAGAGCGCAGGCCTCTTAGCGTCCGCCCCGCCCCGCGCCGGCCTCGCTTCCGCTGGAGGCGGGGGGGGGGGGG